TGTGCGAAAGATGATTATTTGAACATTTGTTAAGTTCCATCCTATTAACTAAAAGCCAATGTTTTGAGCTAGCTCTTTTTTCCACAAAGTTTTCACGGATACTTTAATTCTTTCAAATTTTTCATTCTCGAATTTCTCATAATTTTCGACTCTTTAAGTAAAAATCGTATACATCAAGATTTAATATTTGTTGGTTTCGGGCAAGAAGGCGGCAAAGAGGAACTCTGTATTATTGTTAAACGGTAGTCGGAGGCACGTGATTTCTGCCAATTATAATTACCAATTTCTTTAATATTAATCTCAAAAAAAAAAAAAGGTTTTTTTATATTCCACCAAAATTTATAAATTTAACATTGAGAAATTCTTCAATTCCATATTTTGAACCTATTATTATTAAAAAACCACCGCTTTGTGAGATTTTTTAAAAAAAATTATTCTAACATATAAATATATTTTAACACAACTAACCTTCGCGTCCAAAGCCTGATTCCTTAACCTAATAAAGAAATAATAATTTGAAGAAGAATGGCGATTTAATAATTTTAATAAATTAGTTCTTATTTCTCGAGCAAAAAAAAAAATTTACTAACCCCACCAAAAGGAGTTTCGCAAAAACCAATCTTTCCATCATTGACACCGACCATTCCAACCTCCAAAGCTTCCGCAACTCTCCAACATCTTCCAATATCCCTGCTATAAAAATAGGCAGCTAAACCATGAGTGGAATAATTAGCCATAGTAACTACTTCATCTTCATTTTCGAATTTATACAAGGCAGCTATCGGACCAAAAGTTTCTTCAGATGTTATAATCATATCCTTTGACATTCCTGTCAAGACAGTTGGATCAAAAAAATTCCCTGCTTGTCTAGTACCACCAATCAATATTTCAGCACCTTTTGCCACAGAATCATCAACGTGTCTTTTAACTTTTTCAACCGCTTTTTTATTTATCAATGGACCATGAGTGGTGGTTGGATCAAACCCATTTCCAATTTTAAATTTACTGACTTTTTCAGAGAGTTTCGAGGCATATTCAGCATAGATTGACGATTGCACGTAGATACGACTTGGGGGAAGACAAGTTGGGCCTGATGCTCTAAAGCTTGAGGCACT